CTAAAACAAAGTACTATGGCTAACCTGTCCAGTTTGAGCTTGGACTCACGTTATTATTTTTGCGTGCATGCATGTTTGACGCGATAACAGTTGCTATGCACGTTTTGTTTTTTAATACAATGTCGTTTGTCAATGTTAAAATATTCTTAACAGTTAAAAATATTTTAACATTGACAATAAACATCTTTCTTTTTCGCCAATAATAAAGCTTAAAGTTAAAGCAAAGCCAAATGACATCTGCTTGGTCTAGTTGCTATTAATTTCGAGGGCCTATTCATATCCCACAAATAAAACAGTAAGGTTAGCGATTTTGTCAAACTTTGATTTAAAGCCTCACACCTACGCAGTACTGTAGTTGCCTGTGAAAACGAAAACTACGAAAAACACAATATCATATCGCTATACTCGTTCTATGACCTAAATCTAATATTTTAGAACATTTCTAAGATAAACAGTTACAGCGATGAAATAAGCAAGAATTCCAGAGTGACTTAATTTACAGTGATATCACATCATCTTCATTCAACCATCCAGAAGCTGCATGCCCTAAATAGCGGCATGACTCATTGCAAAAATATGAATTACACGTACCCTATATGGTGTTACAAGCGCAAGTTTATTCATACCTCATTCTTTATCGGCTGTTCAACACAACACACAACTTAGACTTAGTCAAGCGATTTTTATCTTCTATCTATCTATCGACTACAATGGCTTTACGTGAATCACAGCGCCAAAAAAATGCAAAGAGAATGTTGCTGTTCTTTGGTGGTGACCAGACCACGTCTATTCTTGAAACGAGCAAGTTGATAAAAATTTTAGAGGGCGATCGGCTGGTGGAGGGTGCCTCGGTACTCGTTAAATACGGGAAAGAAGATCTAGAAGCCCGAGTCGTGAAACTCCACGGTAAGTTATCGTACATCACATTTAAGTTTTTGGTGTTGTCCGCTAGCCATAAAGTTATTCTATTAAACGGCTATAATTCTATATTTAATATATAATTCTGTATTTTTTTGTTTGAATTTTCGGCGGATTTTAAAGAAATCACTCTTTTTCTTGCATACAAAGAAAGCTTTGCCATATTTGTAAAATGTGTTTCTCTGGAATGCTATAAATCGGAAATTCGCGATAATTTCCGAGTATTGTCGAACTGATTACGATTCAATTGTTCTGAAAAAGAAACCCTTTCTAGAACGCGTTCGGAAGGTCTCGCGAAACGCGTTGTGAACGCGTCTGGAACGCGTTCTCGAACGCGTCTAGAACGCGTTCTAGAACGCGTCTGGAACGCGTTCTCGAACGCGTCTGGAACGCGTTCTAGAACGCGTCCGGAACGCGTTCTCGAACGCGTTCAGAACGCGTTTTTCATTAGGTTACTTCTGAGCAGTACTGTATGTACCAGTCAATATAAGTCCCCATCTGCTCCAATCTAGGAATTGTGGGGTCCGTGAGGCAAAGCAGGGTCACTTAGAAAAAAACAGATATTTATACAATCCAGCAATTTTGATTATACAGTGCTGAGAAGTAAAAACTGCCATGCCAACTTCTGGCCCTGGGTAGGGGGAGGCGGTAAATTACATTGACTGGTAGTGTACACTACATAGTTATGGGGTGCAATGGCAAGCCAGTTCTGTTGTCTTTAAAAGGGCTGCTAATTCTAAACTGCAGTGATTCAAAACATTGTCCAAGCATGTTCTAGAGATTATGAGTACTATTTTAACTTTGCTACACTCATATTTTGGAACAACTTCCAAGGACGGACTGACTATAAATGTATCAAGTTCTGAAAATATAAAATATAAATCTTACTTTAAAATTTCCATCATAGAAAATGTGATTTTCCTGCCATTTTATAGTTTATTTTGTCTGAACTGTAGCCTGCGAACAGGCTCTCAAGCTGAATTGAGAGCCTGCATCGATGACTAATGAATTTGAATATCTGCCCCGTAACGTTCGTTTTTCAAAATATGGAATGTCTATCCTTATATGGTGCTGTTTACAACTTTCGTGCAAACTAAATTTAGACCGTGTAAACTAAATTTAGACCATACAGTTTATACTTTTTTTCGAAATATAAGATATTGAAGCAAAAGTTTAAATGTTTTAAATACTGTTTTCTCAAAACAGAACATTTCGTGCTTTGAGATAAGATGGCGGATCATGCCCAACAGCAGTGATTGCCCAGTTTGCCAAGCAACAACGTTGGCAAATGTTGAAGCTCTTGGAAGGTCTTAGAAAGACAGCAAATATTAACGCTGTTTGCTCCGGCGACTCGCTTTGAAGAGGACGAAAGCGACGAAGAAAGCGAGGCAGCCGATGACGATTGATGACGAACCAGAAGACGAACAGAACGAAACCCTCGTGAACAGTTTGCTAGCAAAAATAAGCCTTTCGCGAAGGTCTGACGATCGCCATTTTACCAACCGGATATGTAATGAGTGCTTATTGTGCGGGTGGTAGTCAATTTATCCCGGGCGTTCTGTGACCCCCGTCCGCGATCATATCAGATCATGTCATCGGCATCTGCTAATTACTAAAATAACATCGCTCGAAGTTCGAAGTTTTATTCAAAATTCCAAAGGCATTTTATCGTTGAAAATCGCTGAATATTTTTCGTCTACAACTTTAGAAAGTGGAAATATTTCCAGATGCATGGGCCATCATCATTCGAATATTTACCATCAAAGAACAAATATGAATGGTTTATAGTTTATTTTGTCTGAACTGTAGCCTGCGAACAGGCTCTCAAGCTGAATTGAGAGCCTGCCTCGATGACTAATGAATTTGAATATCTGCCCCGTAACGTTCGTTTTTCAAAATATGGAATATCTATCCTTATATGGTGCTGTTTACAACTTTCGTGCAAACTAAATTTAGACCGTGCAAACTAAATTTAGACCGTACAGTTTATACTTTTTTTCGAAATATAAGATATTCAAGCAAAAGTTCAAATGTTTTAAATACTGTTTTCTCAAAACAGAACATTTCGTGCTTTGAGATAAGATGGCCAAGACCAATTTCATCAGTTAATGTGTTTTTTATGCATAGTGCTTCAGCAGTTGACATATGTAGAGCTCAGCGGAAACATAAAAATTATAGCATCTTACCAATGAGAATTTCGCGTCACGATCTTACATGCTGCTAATTGGCGGTTTGAATGCCGCAATGGCCAATGTTTTGTTTTTCGTTCTCATATTTTTTTCTTAAAAATTTTCCTAAGATTGCCTTTACAACACCGGAGAGTTACTATTGTATGACTGTAAATTACTATTATTAAATTGCCCCCTTCTTTCAAAATTCGATAAATTATTTTTTAATAGTCGAGGCCATTTTGTAGTTCGCGCAATTTCCATAATTGTTTTAATTAATGCTAAATGTTGAGCCGCTGACATGATCTAATTTGATCGCGGATGGGGGTCACAGAACGCCCGGTATAAAGTGACTACCGTTTACCGTTTATGAGTCATGCGATACTGTCCTGGATCGTTGTTACGCATTTCCTATGCGAAATGAGATGAGATAGGTAATAATTTAAAAACATGTCGGCTGTGGTGTGGGGAGAATAAGTTTAAACTACCATATCTACCATTTCTTTTATGTGTATTTTAAGACAGTGAGAGTCTGCTATTTTACGCGAGTTGAAACACTGTTATTCAAACATAAATATTTGAAATTCGCGCTCTAGATCGACTTTAAAAAATCCCCCGAGGAAATTAAAGAAGAAAGCATGCTTTATCAGAATTTGTCAATTTTGGAGTAAAAAGTTTAATATCGAATGGCACGAAGGGCGTAGAACAAGGTGTTATTTTCTCACTCCTTTTGTTTATGTATTTCGAATTTCAGGCATTCTGATTGGTCAAGGACGCAAAATGTAAAAAAACGCGCTGATTGGCTAACATTATTTGCCCTTGTTTCTGGATGGCAGTTAACGGCTGTGCAATATATATCACATTACACAAACCTGGCTAATGGCTACCCCTCCACATGATCTACAGAACCCTACATCAATTCCATATTTATAATATTCGTTCTACGTTCCCAACCTCTATTGTGATTAGTTGGTTAGAGCGCCGAACGGGACTCACAGGGCCGTAGGTTCGATTCTTGGAAGAGGAATGATTGTTGCGTTTTTTGCAACTGCTCTTGGTTAGGATTTATAAATTGATAAAAATTCCGCTTGTGATTTCCACCTACAAATACCTCGTACAATTAGTTGAAAACTTCAAATAAATTTCATTTAGATGTAGACGAATGTCTCTCCAATTCAATATGCCATGCCAAAGCAACATGTAACAACACAGAAGGATCTTATACATGCACATGTGATTCTGGGTACAGTGGTGATGGATTTTCTTGCGATGGTATGCACACGACCGAAATTGTAATTATTATATCAATTAGAGGAACTATAAACCCAACGTCCGTCGCAGGGACTTTCCACCTGCTGGGAAAGACCCTGCTATCGGCTGGTCACGTGTTCTCCCAGAATCTGGGAGATAACAAAAAAAAATCAATTAGGGTGGGCACCTAAGTACGTTTTGTCATTGTCATTGAGCAATGTGTGAGCGAAGAAATAACCCAGAAATCATGCAGGAAATATTTACAAAATTGTATATTTTATTTGTCATGAATACTATCAATGTTACATAACAGAAAATATCAAATTTCATTGTGTGCAGAATGTCGGTGAGCAAAGATAAATCAGATTTCAATTGACAAATTATGCGATACAGCTCGTCGAAGAAATCAACACGTCGCAAATGTTACAAGAAAATATATTTCTACAACGTTACCGACCGATGTGGCTGTTATTTAGCTGTTGATGTCTATCCTAAAGGATTTATTTAATTTAATAAATAATTTTTTAAATTTAATTTTACTGAGTTATATAATTATTACCGAGATGTGTAACGAAATATAGGGATCTTTTTATTCCTGAAATATCGCAAACTATGTTGCTTGTAAGGGTCATTATTTCATAAGATGGGTCATTGTTTAATAAGATGAATGAATTGAAATGCTTGGCGTTTGATAGAGATTTGGATTTTATTTGTATAACTGAATCACATTTTTCTGGGGATTATACTGATGCTGAATTAGATATTCCTAATTATAATATTTACAGGAATGACTTGAATCCAAGTGGAGGTACTTGCATCTATGTTCACGTAAGGCACACTGTTCAAGTTCTAGTGAATAAATCTATTCGTGATTTTATGAGTATAACAGTATTCTTGGATACTGGAAAATTGCACTTAGTGTGTTTGTATCGCTCACCGTCTTCAACTGTAGAACAGGATGTACTTGTGAGAAATTAATTGGCTAAGTTACCTTCTACTGATACTGATCGAATTATACTTTTGGGTGATGTTAACCTCCCTGATGTTTGTTGGGTAACTGGCAGTGTTAAAGGCCCTGATAATACAACTGATACGAAACTCATTAACCAGCAGGAGTATTTAGATTGTATTGTTGCTAATGGATTTTCGTGGCATATTACAAATGAAATCACTCGTAGGAGGTTTGTTTGTGGGGAGTTGCAGGAGTCTACTTTAGATCAAATATTAACATCAGATCCTGATATTATAGATGACATTATTTTTGGTCCTCCTCTTGGACGTAGTGATCACTTGACATTGGAGATTCGCCTTAAGCTATATGATGACGCCAGTTACTTGACCTCTGTAAAGTATAATTGGCCGAAATGTGATATTGCTAAAGTTGTATATTTGGGGCAACAGACGGACTGGTTCTACTCTGGTGTATTTGATAATTCTGTAGATACACAAAGTCAGGAATTATTGAATAAGATCTTGAATATTGTTGATAACTCTGTGCCAACTATTAAGCTAAAAACTACGAAGGAAGGAATTCCAATTAAGAAAGCGCCATGGGAATGCTCTAGACTTCAGCATTCTAGGAAAGCAAAGGATAAAGTTTTGGGGGCATTTAGTGATGCTGGAAATTATCGACCAATTTCTCTAACTTGCATCCTATGTAAAGTGTATGAAAAGCTTTTGTTTAAACATCTGTACAGTCATGTTAAGGGATTTATTAGTCGGAATCAGCATGGGTTTATGGAAGGGAAGTCTTGTCTCTCTAACTTGTTGGAATCACTACAATATATTATCAAGTTTTTGGATGGTGAAAACTGTTACTTCTAGAGTCCCCCAAGGGTCTGTTTTGGGACCCTTGTTATTTATATTATTTATTAATGATATGCCACAAGTTACTAAATTTAATACTGTGCTTTTCGTTGATGATTCCAAAGTTATTGGTAATGCATATTATCCGGAAGATATTCAAACAGACATTGACTGTCTCAGTAGGTGGTCAGAATGCTTCACATCGGAGAGAGCAATCCGCAACATGGCTATACATTGGATGGTATTCAACTAAAAAGTGTACAGAAAGAAAAGGATTTGGGGATAACCTGGTCTGCCGGGAAGTCCTTATTTGATGATCATATTCGAGAAGGAATCGGAAAGGCCAAGAGGATGATTTCTGGATAAGAAATGTTGTATCTCGTAAACATGAAGTGTTGGTTCTTCTTTACAAGGCCTTTGTGAGGCCCCATCTGGAGTATTGTGTGCAAGTTTGGTCCCCGGTAGCAAAGCATGGTAATTGGGGTATAATTATGGCAATTGAAAAATGTCAAAGGGATTTTACTAGAATAATTTATGGTATGGGTTTTCTCAGCTATAGTGAGAGACTTCAAAAGCTGGGACTGACAACACTTCTGGAACGTAGAATGCGGGGTGATCTTATTGAAGCATACAAGATTATTAACGGACATGTTAACTATGGCCATCAAATGTTTAACCATAATTTGCATTATAGTACTCGTAATTTATGCAATGTATCATCCTGTAGGACCAGATTTGCGTTAGATTGTTTTAGCGTAAGAGTAATTAAGTATTGGAACAATTTACCAAACTCTGTTAAGTATGCACCTAGTGTAAACGCCTTTAAGGCAGGACTTGATGATCTAAAAAGTTATAACCCGGATTCTTGTCACGGATATTGGTATTTATCGCAAGAAATCTTCAACAGAATTCCGGATAAGAATGACCATGTTACTTATTTTAAATTTCATCCAGAGGTTGCTATGCGAAGACATATTTCTTGTTTCTAATTTGTAATAATTGTAATATATATTACTGTAAGATTTATATTTCTGTAATTTTCTTAGATGCATGAGTTGCCCAGAGAGGCATAATTAAATCTTATCTTATCTTATCTTATCTTATCTTATCTTATCTTGTAAACAATGCCACTCGGACTGCTGAAACTTCAGAACCATCCTCATGCAGAGATACGAAAAACCAGAATCTGTTGAAACTTGATGCTCAAGAAATATGTCGAACTGTACCTCTCCGTTATCAAACCTACAGTAAAATAATCCGACAATAGCCTACTCAAAGATAAGTGAAAGACTCGTCTGTGCGTGTATGTTACAAATACGAATACTATACTGTTTGACATTTAGGACATTTTACAGTAGGCTATATAAATAGAAAATGTAGTGATAAATTTGATAAATAGCTTTAATTGTGACATTAACTTCACTGTAATGAAATCACTTTACTGTAATGAAGTATTTGTGAAATATAATACTGAATCAAACTCTAAGACTATGTACTAAGTGTTATATCTGTGGTGGGTACATATGACTGCATGTGCATATCAGACTGAGCTAGTGATTTCAGTGTTTATGCCGTGGTTCATTCCGTGGTTTATGGAATTATCTACGACTATCTTCATATTATAAAATGTGTACTGTATATCAGAAAAATACTGTTATAAATATTGCTATTACCCCATTATAAGGTGCATGGAGGCCAAAAAATTATGTATATACCGCCTGATGATGTACGCCCTGAGGCTGAAAATTGTTGTACTTTACTACCTGCCAACCTCCTACCCTACTGATCTACAGGGTTTTTTAATAAATATGATGAACTATTTAATTAAAAGTATTTTCAAAGATAAACCATCGACAGTTTTAAAGTAAGCATTTAGTCTCTGTTTTCTCTGTTCGGCAGTGTCCTCATGTTTACATTGTGATTTGCGACAAAAAGTTAATTACGTGACTTCAAAATTTTATCAAACTTAACTAAATGAGACGCGTACTATTAGTAAATCTGCACAAAGTTTATCAATGTTTTCAAACAACAAATCTAATGGCATATTTTAGGAACAGATAAAAGTGAAAATGTACAAACGTTCGCGACTGACCAGTTTGACATGAAAATATGTTTGTGAGAGAATACCCAACTTCAAAATTTAAAGTATACATTTTATTTGTTTCTTGACTTGACTGTTGATAAAATGCTACAGTGTTTTTTGTAATTTAAAAGCAAACAGAAGTATAAAATAGAGTTGGCGGGCGCTGCGATCTAATTATCGTAAAATTCCCACTCCTGGTATTTGAAATTTAACGTTTTCTGTGGAAGCATGTAATTTGGTACTTTGCCACTCCCCCATGGGCAATTAATTTGTGTTGAGTCACGTGACCAGCCGATACCAGGGTCCTTCCCAAGAAGACCCTGGGTACGAGGATGCTATAAACCAGATATGCATGGACAATGCAAAACTTCATATTAATTTATTTTAGATGTGAATGAATGCCTCACAGACTCACCATGTCACACCAATGCAACATGTAACAACACCGAAGGATCTTATACATGTACATGCGATACTGGATACAGTGGTGGTGGATTTTCCTGTGATGGTAAGAATGGAACTGAAATAGTAATTGTTATAACAATCCGAAAAAAATGAAAGCACTAGCTTGCAAAAATGGAAAACATCATATTAACTGCTTTTAGATGTGAATGAATGCCTCATAGACTCTTGTTCCATGATTTTCTATTAATAAAGGTTGGAATTTTAATTTCGTGATTGTATGGGTGAATTAGGTTTATCTCAAGGTGTGCGTGTTTGTTTTGTTTAACTCCCTGTTAATAAATCTCGTTTCGTCTTCATCGATAAACAGGTACTCATCCAAAATAATCTTCATGTCTGCTTTGTTAGGATTTAGTCTAGGACCTGTATATGAGTTTGTATGCGATTCATTTAGGACAGGTAATCTCAACTGTTTTAGGGTAAAATGACCATGGCGGTCAACATGGCATATGTGCGAAAACCTGAATCCAGGACGAAAGTCCTGAAAATGACCCCGCCCTGAAACGGCAGTGTCGACATAGCTCTAACTTCCAAAAAGGAAAAGCGATAGCCTTTCTGAAGTGCTTATAGTGTTTAGAAGGGTTGCTTTTAGGGGTGGTCATTGGAAGGAAAAATTTGTCGAAGTATAATATTTTACCAGAAAATGACAATGCACCACCCCAGGTAAATTGCTGATTATGCACAAAATAACTAATATGCCTGGCAGAAATTAAATATTCTTATTTCCTAAAAAAAATTATCATGGGGTGAAAAACTATGCTTAATTTAATATAAATATTGTTGATTTCATAAGGATTGTCATTGTTTTCTTTAAATATAATACATTTTATTTCACTTACCCCCCACGAAAACACGATTTCAGCCATATTTTGCCGTCTTGTTTGCTTTTTATCGCCGAATCTCGCAAATATCATCCAGTTATTGTACTTTTACATAATCATAAATGGCTGAAGAAGATTTCAAAGAAGGTTTCATCCACTTTTGTAACAGTGCAGTGTATTTTACCTTCGATATTGTGTCCTTCGATATTCCGCCAAATTGCCGCCATTTTAATGGCTCGCCGCTTCTCTGTCTGATAAATGCAACTTCTTCGTTTCCATATGTATTTAGATTACAGTATCCAAGAGTACTTCATTGTAGAATAGTCCCAATCCAAAAATTGGCAATATTTGTCCCATTAGGAAGGAAAAATCCTCCCGTATACCATTTAGGTTCAAAATAAAAAACAAATCATTTGAAAGTCACGCGCAATCTTCGCGAAAACTTCTCGTGGACACATGACAGGGGGGGTTGAATATTTTCACGAATATGTTCGCCACCACAGAAACATAACTAAATATATTGTATTTATTGTATTTTTATGATTTATGACAAAACTACGCAAATATTTATTGTTTTTATTATAAATCATAAAAATACAATAAATACAATATATTTAGTTATGTTTCTGTGGTGGCGAACATATTCGTGAAAATATTCAACCCCCCCTGTCATGTGTCCACGAGAAGTTTTCCCGAAGATTGCGCGTGACTTTCAAATGATTTGTTTTTTATTTTGAACCTAAATGGTATACGGGAGGATTTTTCCTTCCTAATGGGACAAATATTGCCAATTTTTGGATTGGGACTATTCTACAATGAAGTACTCTTGGATACTGTAATCTAAATACATATGGAAACGAAGAAGTTGCATTTATCAGACAGAGAAGCGGCGAGCCATTAAAATGGCGGCAATTTGGCGGAATATCGAAGGACACAATATCGAAGGTAAAATACACTGCACTGTTACAAAAGTGGATGAAACCTTCTTTGAAATCTTCTTCAGCCATTTATGATTATGTAAAAGTACAATAACTGGATGATATTTGCGAGATTCGGCGATAAAAGCAAACAAGACGGCAAAATATGGCTGAAATCGTGTTTTCGTGGGGGGTAAGTGAAATAAAATGTATTATATTTAAAGAAAACAATGACAATCCTTATGAAATCAACAATATTTATATTAAATTAAGCATAGTTTTTCACCCCATGATAATTTTTTTTAGGAAATAAGAATATTTAATTTCTGCCAGGCATATTAGTTATTTTGTGCATAATCAGCAATTTACCTGGGGTGGTGCATAGTCATTTTCTGGTAAAATATTATACTTCGACAAATTTTTCCTTCCAATGACCACCCCTAAAAGCAACCCTTCTAAACACTATAAGCACTTCAGAAAGGCTATCGCTTTTCCTTTTTGGAAGTTAGAGCTATGTCGACACTGCCGTTTCAGGGCGGGGTCATTTTCAGGACTTTCGTCCCGGATTCAGGTTTTCGCACATATGCCATGTTGACCGCCATGGTCATTTTACCCTAAAACAGTTGAGATTACCTGTCCTAAATGAATCGCATACAAACTCATATACAGGTCCTAGACTATTCCTTAAAAGCTTCTTTGCTCTAAACAAAGATGAAGGACTTTGCAAAAGTCTAC